GCCTGCCTTTCCTGCTTGTGCTGCAGCCACAGCTGTGAGGAATTGCCTTTGTATGGATGAAGTATTCATATGTACAGGTGCTGGGCTGGAGCTCGTTGAGAGTAGAACCTCGTGCCTACCTGATGTTACACTGGCAGTGGTGTGAAAAATAATCTACCCTGCCTGTGCAAGAAAGGCACCGTCCCTTCTCATCAGAGCGAGTGAGGTGCACTCCAAAGGCTGCTTGTTTCCTGAGTTGTTACTCTGCTAAGACTGCAGCAGAGACCAGCTAATGCCAACTGTGGGGCAGTTATTTTGTGATGAGGGACCGAACTTCTTCAAGCTGAGCCTCAACTCGATTAATTGGGAGTATCCTATTGCGTGGGAACGGCACATGATTGCAAGCTGCGGGGACTTGTTGCATATGTAACTGGTATGGTGCATATGCAATGATACGGGCATGTAGGAGAGGTGAGGCTTCTCCTTCCCTTTCCTGGCTCCTTCTGCTCAAGGTAAGTGTTTTAGCAACCTGGTAGCATCTTGCAGGGAGGATTCCAGGTTGGAAGGAAATGAAGGGGTGCCAAATCTGTATCGGCATGGCTGCAATGCTAGGTGGAATTAAAACACCTAACAGTAAATGGTTAGCTTAGCAAAGAGTGGGTTTAGTCTTAGAGATATGGTATCCTTCCATGCTATTACACAGCATGAGGCATGAAATTGGTGCAACTGTGCTTTTAAGTAGTTAGCCACAGGTTTATAAACTGATGGCCTAGGAACAGTGAAAACAATTGTATGCCTATTCTAACAAGCCTAGACTTATACCATGGGCTAACAGACCACAAGGCTTACAGAGCTTCCACTGTGCAGCATGCAATGGCAGCGTGACGCTCTACAGTAGCTGGCAGAGGAGAGCTCTGGCCTCCAGCGTTATTAGGTGTTAATCGTGCCTGCACCGCACGGATGTTCGGTAGAAGATTCAGAGGAGCACGGGTTCATAGCCAGCCAGAGACTGTACTCTGGCTTCACTTTTTTTGTAGATTGAACCTTAGTAATATTAGAGGGTTCAGGATGCCCGTGGTCTACACTGGCATGGCAAATGCTGCAGGATCTGGATTGGCATCTGAGCAGGAAAGGCCGAAACATCTGGGAAGGCCACCCCTGTGCACAGGCTGTTGTGTACTGGGAATGCTTCAGTGCCGCAAAAATGCCGACCCTATAAACTTCACGAGCACTCCGTGGCCCTGACGAGGGAGGGAGCGTTAATTAGTCACTCCATACAGCACAGGCTGCCCTTAGATGTATCGGGCCACTACTGGGAGCCGTGTGGGCTGATGGACGGTGTGGTTACCTGCATCCTTCGTTCACAGAAGCCTCCCGTGGTGCGAGCTACGCAGCAGGAAAATCGGTGCCTGGGCTGCCTGGCAGCCCGTCAGCTTCGGGTCCTGTGCTCACTGTGCAAAAGATTTTGAGAAAATTTAGTCATCCAGAGTGAGAGGGAACCTGATGGTTTTGCACGAGGAATGTTTGTGAGCCTCTGGCTTGATGTGTCCCTGCTATGTGGGTAGGTTAGGCTGGAAATAATTGATTGAGGTTAAGTGCTGGCTGTTTACGTTTGCTTCTGGAATGAGTAAAAATACGTAGTTATGATTTTGAACATGAAATTGTGTAACTGATATTCTTTAAAACTGCTTAAAAGAAAAGGTTTTCCTATCTTCCCCAAGGGTTAACCACAGAGTGGCCGCATCAGTGGCTTTTTCACAAAATGTAGTATTCCTCAACACTTCACTGAAGTGTTACAGTGTGAATACAGCAAATTACTTTATTGCAAAATTAACTGTGAGTTGTTGCTGCTCCGCTCATTACAATTTCTGTGAGTGGTATTGGAGTTTTTAAAATGTATTGCTCTGTGCAAAACTTTGAAGTTGCTAATGATGAGAAAAATTACCTGGGAAATTAGAGTTAGTCGAGTAATATTGATTTGTTTGAATTCGTTTGTCAGATTTCTGCATAAGCTTTGTCTAAATAATTTGGTAAACATTTTTCTTTTTATTCTGGAGTCCTTTGAAGCTTTTCCAGTTCATTGTTGTTAGAGATGGGGCTGTCTTTGGAGATGCACGGTCAATGTAGACTGAATATGCTGACCTTGCAGGTGTTAGGCAACAAATACCAGCCTGCTATGCAAAAGTAGCCCAAATAACATCCTCACCTTCTGACAGATATTGTCAAGTGTGCTAGCATCATTATTTTGTGATATTCTCCTTTCTGATTCACATTCAAGGAAGAACAGCTTCTCTCTTAAGAAAGGCTAGTGCCTAGAGAGTAGAACTGAGCTCACATCCAGCCCTAGTAAAAATGGGTGGTGAGACCACGTGCAGCTAACTATTCAGTTGTGGTTCTGTAGTTGGCTTTAGCGGGGCCCTGTAAACATGGGTAAGTAGTGCCTACTCTGCAAAATGGAACTGCACCTTTCCAGAGCATGAACTCACCCTATGCAATTCTGTGGTTCGTGTAGCTACACTGGCAGTGCATTGATATAAAGATGCCACTGCTGGTGCATGAGAGCTGGTTACCTAGGTTTTGAAGTAGGGTCCAACATCGATATCCCAGATCCTCAGAGGAAGAAATGTTACAGCTGGTGCCGGGTGTGTTCTCATCCACTGCTGATGGCATTGTTGGTTTGATTTCTTTGACTTTATAGGAGTGATAAGATAAAAATAGGAAGAGACCGTACCAGGCTCTGCAATCTCTGTCCTAAAAAGGTCAAAAGCCTCCTGTTTTTTCTACTCCTCAGATGTCCACAGCTCATACACACATACCTGTGGGATCTGAGGATGTATCACTTGGAAAACAGGAGACTGCTGTGGAGACAAAGCAGGCATGATTTTCCGTTGAATTTTAGGAGAGTTTGGGTCTTAATAGGATAAAGGCTATAAAATGTGTCAGGAGTCTCTGAGCCCCTCTCTCTCTTCCTCTTCCCTCTCTCGTTCTCACTCTTATGTTGACCCTGTTTCATGGTGGGTGGGTGGTGTGTGCATGTTTGATGGCAGCTGGTCAAAGTGCTCCTGGGTCCTGCTGAGGCTGGGACTTAGCATGGAGCTACACTTACTCCTGCAACCCAGCTGCTCTGAGGCTTACCTGAAACCATGGCCTTTCTCTCCCGCTGTAGGCCATAGGATTTATAAACCCTAATCATTTGCAATGGGACATATATTCTTGTTCACAGAATCAGTCTTGCCTTCGATATCATGACCTGCTGTCTTGTTTCTACAGTCCTCTGTCCCCTTGAGTGTCTCGTGGTTTACAGCAGGTGGAATGTGATTATTTTTCTGTGGGATTTTCACCCTGCCAACATTACTCCTTCATTTCTGAAGGAAACAGTCCCATGTCAACAGATGCATAACTAACTTGCTGCCTTTTCCTTTGTCTCCTTTTTCCTTCAGGAGCTGTTAGTTAATTCTGGATAAACATCAGCCATCAAAGAGCAGAGGACAGGGACCACAGACACCCTTGGAAGCCCCAACATCCTTCTGGATAGACACTGACCAAAACTGGTGCCTTCTACCCTTTGCGGTCCAAGAAAATGATGTGATTCCTCTTCTAATTGCCTGCATGTTTCAGTCTCAGTGGATGTTCCTGGAGTTGGGAGGAGGGTCCTGGGAGAGGGGGACGCTATCATTTCCTTTTTTGTTGTATTACAATGTAAAGAATCATATTGACCACAGGTGCTTCCAGCACAGCTTGTAGCTTGGAGGCTTGCCCAGCACGAGCCTAGTTCACCCTGTGCTAGCTTTGGTTTCACCAATCCACATCTGATTTTCAAGAGCTGTTATCTTTGCCTGTTTGCTCTGGAAAAAGGGGTCCGAAGTATTTGGAAGTAACCCGGACTAGCTTGTTAGGATTAACTGTTCCTAGCATGCTCCCATTGGTTACACCAGCAGGCGTGTTTCTTCCTTTCCAAGGTTCCCTCCTAAACAATAAAGTGTTTAATGGTCACTGTGTGCTGTGAGATACTTTAAGTCTCATGAGTTTGTAAATCGCTGTTTTCTGCCTACTACCCGTGCCAACAAAAACTCCCAACAAGTGTGGGGATAGAAATATTTCAAGTCACACTTTATAAATCACAAAACTTGTTCATTTTGGTCCTGGGCTGGATGACTTTGGCTTATTTGAAAGTACTTGGAAGAGTGCAAAGTCCTGGCTGAAGGGAACTGGTGTTGCTGAATCATACCAAAAAAAAAAAAAACGCTTTGCCTGCTGAATGTAGCACCCAAGTTATCTTTTTTGCACCAGCTCTTGTGTGCGGTTCCTGCTTTGTCTGCCATGAACTATCATCCCTTTCAGCCTTGTGCTCTGTTTTGAGCCCTCTCCTTGCTGAGGGACACTGGGAGCTGTGTGTGTCTGGTATTTCATCCTCGTAGAAGTAGGTGCATCAGATTCGCAAAAGACTTTCAGGGGAGCAGGTCTAGCTTGGTAACTTGATTCCCCTTCTCTGGCTAAAGCTTCTCCTCTGGCAGCGTTTGCTGCTCTTGTCCTCTCTGAGTATATCTGACAGTTTCTGAAGAATGTGAACATGGATTTTTGGAGGTCATGTCAGAGTTTAATGTAGTGTTTATGAAAATGGATGAGGGATGCTGAGAATTGTTTTCTGTGTTATATTCTGCTTTGTCTCTTTTTCCTTCAGGCAGCAACTTAGTGTTTCACATCTTCATTAAAGCAAGAAAATGCCTTTACTACTTGTGGAGAGCTGATGCCACAACCCTCTTCCTCCTCAGAAGCAATGTTTGCTTACCCGTGGCTCATCTGTGTTAGTCTCAGATCTTGCAAAAAGTCCAGCTTTTTATTACTGTGCAGGTCAAACTTGCTGTCCCCAAGGGAGGAAGGGCAAGTTTTCCAAACCAAAGTAGGACACTTGGTGCCCTCAGATCTGTCTGTAGCAGCACTGGGTAGTCTTTTGCTGCTGCTGCCGCCATGTTGGCTTTTGGATCTGCTTGGGATAGCCAGGTTCTACAGAGCCACCAAACTTCTGACTCTGCATGCAGAAATTTGGAGCACCAAGGTCTACCCCTGACCAGATTTTCAATTACTGCCGGTCTGAAGAGAAAAGTACCTATTTTGTCTCTTCTTCTTGCCCCTATCCGGTGTTGCCTTGGCATGAGTAATTTGCATGTCATTATTTCAGCTGCCTTAAATTGGGGGGGACTATGATGCCAGGGCTGATTATCTGGCAGCACTGGACAATTTTCTCTGTTAGGAAACTGTAATACATTTCCATGTTCTTTTATAATGAGCTTTATTTACCAAATTGGCAATTCCTCTGTTGAGAAATAACTGATTACAGCATTCAGGGAGTTGCTGTCATCTCAAGATCTGCAGGTGTCTGTGGAACATAAACAGATGTGATCGTTCAGACAGTGAACTCAATTGATAGAGGGTAGGGGGAAAAAATCAGCCATAAAATCATAAATGTAACATCTCCGGCTAATGTTGGCCAGGTGCATTGCGGCTGTTCTGCAGCCCAACAAGGACAAAGTGGCACTCTAAGGCCATCCAGTACCTCCAGATGAGGGGCTGCTTGATTATTAGCTGAAAATATACCTCCTGTGTGTCATCACACTTCAGTACTGGCTTGTCTAACGGTCTCTGGTAGTCTCTGAGGACAGACATTAGTTCATCGTGTAGCCTTGAAGTGGGAAACTCCTCTGTCCTGCCACGTTGGGTTTGATTTTAGCTTGCTCTGTGATTAACGTCTACAACCTTCTTGGTGATCATGTCCGTGGGGATTGTGGTCCCATCTGCCTTTCAGGCAGTCTCGTCCCTTTGGTGTTTTCCTAGTGCCCAGGAGCAGTTTCGTTACTGCTGTTGCCCTAATCATCAGCTCAGATACCTGAGCCTGGGGAAAAATACGACGAGCAGAGATGTCAACAGGAAATTGCTGAAGATGAAGTTTGGTTTGCAGAGTCTCAGCTGGTATCTGAGTAAAAAATGTACAGGTAACACAGCTTCTGGAGTGAGTGGGTTTGGTTCCCTCACCCCCCCCTTTGCTGCTTCTATACTAACGAGGCCCTTGCAAAGAAGGAAGAAGCCCTGCATCTTCTCTTAGGCTCCCTCTCCTTATGTGTCTCCTTGACTGCTTGTTGGCTATTCAGAGCATGAATTTTTTTTCATGCAAGATTGTGACAGCAGGTGTCAGTTACGCTCCAAAGTGGCAGAGATCATTATTCCTGGAGCCTGGTGTCCAGTGTTGAATAGATGTCCTTATCACACAGCTACCATCACAGCTGGCATTAATGGGCAACTAGAACAGCAGGAAAACAAGGTCTTGAATCTATTGTAGAAGCTGAATTGGAGGCAGCTTCCTCCAAAGGCAAGTTTGAGGTAGGGTAGGGGCAGCCAGCCATGCTGCTGTCTGTGCTGTGTGTGCTGGATAAAAAGGAGCTCTTGTGTCCAGGAATATCTGTGACCTGTTTCACCTACTAAAGCCAAAGCTGCCCAGTGCCAGATGCAGTTCAGGTACAGTGCTCCATTCAGCTGAACAGCTGCACGTCCGTTTGCTTATTGCGGTTCTGTGTGGAAATTGGGTAATTGTGTGTACGAATGCACCCGGTAATTCGGATGCAATGTGCACAATTGTGGTAATTTCATGTGAAAGTACAGGCTTGCAGAGCGCCCACTTTATGAGTATGAATTGTTTTAAAACTGGCCAGATGAATGGAAGGAACAACCTTTTTATTCATATGTAATTTCTTAGTGTTGCAGGAAGGAAAAAGAACAAAACCAACGAAGTTAGAGAAGATATAGTAAATAACAGAACTGACAGAAATTTTCTAGTAGGCTTCAACAGCTTTTCAAATGAAACATTCAACAAGCACTTTGAGATTCCAGTGTGCAAGAACATCTCAGGCTCTCTAAGCACCAAATTTGTGTTTTTGCATAAAACCACAACTCATTGCCTCCTGTTGTTAATATTTCACACTTGGCTTTGCAAGATGCTTTATCTAATATCCTCTCTGCATTCCGGCTCCTACCAACTCTGCCTTGTCCACAACAGAAGAGGCTGGAGGAGGAAGGCAATTGCCAAGCGTGTCTGTAATCTACGTAGGAGGGTTTTGTGTAGCTGTAGGGGGAGAAGAGTAAGTCTCATTTCCTATTTTATAGTCTGATGAATCCTGTGATCTCATGCTGTGTGCTCCTTTTCCAGGCAGAATTTTTCAATTTGTCTTTCCAGTTGTTGTTATTTTTTATTTCCAAACTGGTTAAAAGTGTTTTTCTGTAGCTTGTCGTTAAATTGTTTGTCTGATTCCCTAAAACGCTTCACTGCCAGTCTTGTACCCATCTCAGGACCACATTGTTCTTCTCTTTGCCTGGTGACTTGCTCTTTTGGGATTAGAAGCAGAATAGGTTCCCGCTCCCTCTAACTAGATAGATGTACCTGCAGAAAATACAGCCTACAACTGCAACAGCTCTTTTTGCCACCCCAGGGAGCCATTGCACCCAGCACTGTAGAGTTATCAGCCCTTTTTCGGAAACCCACGGGAGGCTGAAGGGCCGTTCAGAGTCCTGGGGGGTTGTAGCCCCAAACCTGCTCCTTTTTTTTTTTTTTTTTTTTTTTTTTTTTATGGAGAAGGTGGATGTGATGTTCCTGAGCTGACTCACCTACCGTCTTCATCTGTCAGCCTTATTGCTCTGCTCTTGGTGTGTGTCTTGGTTTCTCCTCACTTCCCCAGTTCTCCTGGGCCAATGCCTTGGGAGACTGAAGGGTGATGCGGACTGAAGTGATGAGCCTGGACCAGCAGTCGTCTTCGTGCTGAGGTTGTTCAGGGCAAGTAGCGGCACCCCTCCATCTCCCGCTCTGGGCTGTGATTGCGCTGGCAGAGGGGTAGTTGCGCAGCCTGGGGCAAAGCCAGAGGGAGCACAGGGAGCAGTCACTGCTCTCAGGAGGGCTCCGTGTCAAACGTGTATCTTGGATTTAATGACACATGTGCTCTTTTCGGACTTTTTACAGAGGTCAGCACATGGCAGAGAACTTTCCTTTGTCATCTTCTTAGGGAGAGCAGCAAACAAACTTTTGTTTCCAAATTGAAAATGAAATCAACTGCTCCCTCTGGGGTATGTAACAAACTGCTCTTGAAGCTGGTTTCCCCTTGCGAATGGCCTATATTAGACGCTGTTCTTGCTTGCACTCAGTGGAGTAGCTTGTGCTTGATCCAGCCATTTTGTTTGTGCGATGTGCTACGAGATGTTGATAGTACTTGCATCGGGTCCCTGTATTGTTTTCTGTGGGAGCAGTTGCATGGAAGACTTGCTGAGTGTAGGAGAAGGGTCAGTGGGGACCTGGAGTCTCATTTTGATTCCTGCTTTGCATCCTCCTTTGTTTTCAGAAAGTTTGTTTAGAAATAAATATAATTTCTGGTATCTTTGGAGCAGGTTTGCTAATTAGCGTGAGCCCAAAGCAAGGCCTTTTGCTCACATGGCTCTTTTTTGAAGAATTAGGATCTGCTCACCTTCTAATGGATATCCCTTAAAGCTTTAATTCCAAAATCCTGTTTGAATACTGAGTTAATATTGGGTTGCCAGCTGTGGAGTAAGTTGTCTTCATTCCCATCTACTGCTAACACTTACGGCAAACTGGTGCATGCAGTCCAGTTCTATATGTCTCCTACTTCCTTCTCTACGGCATTTAACAACAAATGTAATCTTCACTGTTTAAGACCAGGAAAGATTATTGGGTCACCTAGACTGCAAGATGGGAGATGACCGAGGGCTAGGAGCTCTCACAGGAGAGCTCATCCAGCCTTGCCGTGGTTAGTAGCTTTCTGAACATCACGCTGGAAAGTCAGAGTCCTCCTGGGTTCTCTGCATTTGTTCCTTATCTATTTATTCTGTAATAAAAAGGACTTGTTTTACTTGAGTTGTAGCTGCTCTGAGGCAGCTGCCATCTTCTGAGAGTTGTGTGCTGGGGGTCTCTCGGCCCGCCCTTCTCATGGGGATGCAG